TTTTTTTAAGATTTTATTTTTTTTAAGAAAAAATTTTTTGAACGATATTGAGGTTTAGAGAGAGTTTATAAAGAATTTAATTATAAAAAATTTAAAAAGTAACATCCTGATACCTATTATCATTTTTTGAGAAATTGGTAAAACTGCAAAAAATGTAATTTCAAGAAAAAAGTTGATTTAAGATTTCACAGCTTTTTACATAACAAAATATATTTACCCGATTCATAATTCTCCTGAAGTGGAATGGCCATAAAATATGGTTTGAAAAATCAAACCTTTAATAACTGATTTTTATTATTTGTTCAAGATATAAAAATGGATCAAAATAAAATTCAAAATAAAATTTTATGTACGCTGTTTTTTTCTCATAGAGCATGTCCTTTAATATTTTGTACATAGCAATATTTGTTTTCAAAATTGAATTTTATTTATACGTTTACATATTTATAATATTTAAATTTGTTATAGTTAAATATATAATTTCACAAGTTAGCCGCAGCATTTTTTTAAATAATTGTTCGATTATACTCATTAAAATTCGAAAGAAAATATTTTTGTAGGATAGTTATTTTAAAAATACTGTTATTAATTTTGTTATCAGCAACCGTTCAGATAGATCTATCTGTTTCATGATCTATCATTGAACGTGTAAATCTGTTTTATGCTATACTGTTCTTTTTTGACTCTTAAATCATTTGAAGATGCAGTATACTAAAAGAAATTATAAAAGAACAAAAAAAGGAAAAAAAGAATAAAGAATAAAGGAAAATTTTCAAGAACAATGCGATTATACAGTATCCAGCATTTCAAGGCATGACTCGCGCGATTAACAAAGTGTTGATAACAATAAAATTTTTAACATACTTGCAGCCAGTATACATATAAAGAAAGTTAATAAATTTTGTGTTCATGGAAAGCATGGAGAGAGACATAGATAGATAGATAGATAAATAGATAGAGAGAGAGAGAGAGAGAGAGAGAGAGAGAGAGAGAGAGAGAGAAATACGGAAAATTCTCTTCATTATTTAGCTGCCAAAATGACAATTTTTATTATTTTTTAGCTCAATAAAAGGCAAAATATTTTTGAAAGATTATCCTATTAAAAATAATTAAAATTCTAAATATTTTCTGGGGTGTTTATCTCAAAGATTTTGTCTATCCTTAACGCTTTGACCATTATCAGTGCCTGTAAGCATACCACGAAAATGTTTATCATATATTGTCATTACTTTTAAAAATGTTTTTTTATTTTATTCTTTTACTGAAGTAACAATCCGGAATAACAATTGTTGATTTAAAGATTTGACTTTATTTATATAATACGTTACCATTACGTCAACAGTCTATGTAATCCACGAAAGTGTTCCATACACAATAACTGCTGTTGTTTGGCAAACATAGCGAACTTTCAAGTGATTTATAGTCAAAGGGTTAAAACTAGTGATTTGTAGTCAAAGGTTGAGAAATTACAATATTAATAATCAATTGAAATATTACTTTAAATTATAATAATAATTGCATCATCATAGCATTTAACAGAAAGATTATGTAATTATATTGCGATTTTTATAATTTGCGATACTGATTGTGAGAGTGATCTAATCAAGGTCGAAACGTTTGTCCTTTCATTTTATTAGCGTTAAATGACTAAATTGTAGTCATAAAGGAAGAACCAGCATTAAAATCTAACTCGTAGTTCTTTGACTTAATTATTTTGAATAGAATTGAATTTGAATGTTTATTAATATTGCTCATTAAAATTCAAAATCCAAGTTTAATTTAATTTTTAAATGCCAAGTCAAATCTAATTTTAATTTCTAAAATCTATATAAAGTTTAAACAATTATAATGGATACATTATAAAATCCAAAATAAATGAATAATAGTATTCGTCCAAATATATAATGACATCGATGCAATTTTAATGGTCATATCTGTTTTAGGATCCTATATACGTTGAAGATATCTATATATTTCTGAGTACCAGATATCTCAGTAAACAAAAAGAATACAATCATTATGGCAGACGAAGAAGGTACAGACTGGCTTCAGGAATTGCTACATGATGTACAGCTCTCCCAGTTCTTTACGCGAATTCGAGATGATCTGCAGATTACTCGTCTGCATCATTTTGATTATGTCCAAGCAGAAGATTTGGAGAAAATTGGTCTGGGAAAACCTGGCGTCAGACGCTTGTTGGATGCTGTAAAGAAAAGACGAAACACTCAGTGGAAAAAGAGTTTAATTACCAAAATTAAACCTGGTAGCAGCGGTAAGAGCAACAAACGATCCTCACAGCCCATTGAAACTTCTTCGGTGCTGACATGTCTCATCCAAGACAAAGATGTAACATTGTCCGTTAAATTAGGCGATGGAAGCTTTGGTGTAGTGAGAAGAGGAGAATGGACCTCTCCCTCGGGACGAACTCTGCCCGTTGCAGTTAAAGTCCTCAAAGCAGATGCTCTAACACAGCCGAGTGTTATAGAAGACTTCGTTTCGGAAGTTCAAGCAATGCATACTTTGGACCATCATAATCTTATTAGATTGTATGGTGTGGTGCTGTCACAGCCGATGATGATGGTAACCGAGCTTGCTCCTTTAGGCGCATTACTTGATTATTTACGACAGCAATGTGGCAGAATTTCGATTCTCACGCTCTGTAACTATGCGTTGCAAGTTGCCACAGGTATGGCATATCTAGAAGCAAAGCGTTTTTTACATCGCGATCTGGCATGCAGAAATGTTTTGTTGAGTACTATCGATAAAATAAAAATCGGCGATTTCGGTTTGATGAGAGCGCTTCCTCAACAAGAAGACTGTTATGTTATGACGGAACATAAAAAAGTACCTTTTCCCTGGTGCGCTCCCGAGTCTCTCAAGGCTCGGCATTTCAGTCATGCATCAGACGCCTGGATGTTTGGTGTGACGCTATGGGAGATGTTAACGTTTGGTGAGGAACCTTGGCTAGGCTTAAACGGTTCCGAAATCTTACGTAAAATCGACCGCGAGGGCGAGCGGCTTCACAAGCCAGAAGCAATGCCTCCATATATGTACGAATTGATGCTTCGTTGTTGGGCGAGAGAACCCTCGGAGAGACCGACATTCGCTTTGTTAAAGGAGTCACTGACTGGTACGGTACCATCTATAATGAAAGCTCTAACTTCTTTTGAGGAAGCTGGCAAGATGTCCATTGAGTCAGGAGACCAAATTGCGATCATAGATGGACAACCGGAAAACTACTGGTGGAAAGGTCAAAATCAACGGACTTTTCAAATAGCGCATTTTCCACGCTGTCTGGTTGACCCAATGCGCCGAAAGCAACCAGAAGACATCAGCAAACCGTTGGAGAATTCTTTCATTCATACAGGACATGGAGCGCCCTTCGGCAAGAGTTGGGGCAGCCCTGTTTACATTGACGATGTATATTTAAGAAACCCAATGGATCCTCCGGATGTGTTGGTGGCAGCCTCGGCTGACAATCAGACAAAAAAGAAGTTCTCTTGTGGTACTCCACGTACCAGAAAACAATTCAATTACACAAAATTGCATAACGATGCCAGGTCGAGTCCTATTAAGGTCTCACAAGCGTCATCGACCTCGGGCATTAACCAAGAGGATACTTTGATCGATTTGTCCGCCGAGGAGGAATCGGCGAGCATAAACATGCACGATCAGAAAATTGCATGTAAGCGAGTAATTAACATTCTAGATGAACCTATCGATGGTGAAAAATTCTCTTGGCAGGATGAAGAAAGCAGAACGTATGCCAATTTTCCTGGTAATGTGGATCCTGCGTATTCTGATCCTTTTGATACCTCCGCGGTATTCATGAAGCCACCACATTCGCGATATTATAGTCATGTGCCTGCTGATGTCAATGCTGCTGTGCATGCTAATAATTATCTGAAGACACAGACATATAGAAACGTAAGTGAAGGAGGAGATAACGTTCAAGATACTGTGAATCGTTTTGACCTTGATTCCACTGATATAGAGGTATGTTATTATAGTGCGTATTAGTAGTACGTGTTAGAAATAAAATTTTGAATTATTTGTAATATCTGATGAATATTTTGAACTCAAAATTATTATTTATTTTAAATATTCTGAATCAAGAACATTATAAATGTTTGAAGAAAAAAATGTTTTAAAATTATTGTTAGATATTATTCAAAAGTTACAATATACACTTCAACAAAAAAAAAATTCATCTGTTCTATTCTTCAAAAACAAGCAAATTTTAAGATAGTAACTTTGTCAAAAATGATCATAACGAGTTTTTCAAAAAACATTTTACAGCTTGAAGTCTTCACTTTTTAAATTGATACTTTAGCAAACGACCAACTTTTTTGGAGGCGCTTAAATACAAATGGAGATGCGACAAATCGCAAAATTTTTTCCGAACTTTGCAAAGTTTTATGGCGTGAATTGCACACAAATGCGATATACAGCTTTTGAAAGAATGAATCTTTTCCTTTAATTTGCTTTTTGGTTGAGCGTTGTACGATATTTTTCACCGAGTTATTCAGTGCTATTGAAGCAAAAAATTTTTTTTTTCAACTTTTACTTGGTTATTTTTACTTTAAATTAATAAAATGTTTTGGAGAATAAAACAAGTGATCCTTTAATTTTCCTAAGTATATGCAAGTTATATATATATATATATATATATATATGTTTACAGGCTGTTTCTTAAATAATAAATATTAATAGTAGCATAATTCGTTATAAAAAAAGGTCGGAAAGCCTCCTTTTTTTTTACATGCTCAATGACGCAATTACTATTGCAGGAATTACTGCTTTATTGAGCATTGTAGAATAAAATTGTTTTTAAATAGCATTCACTAATTATATTGCGCTATTCCTTACAAAAAGTTGAGTTCCGAATTTTTTTCTACAATTCTCAATGAAGCTGTAATTATATAGTAGTGATTACTTCATTATACATTGTAAAAGAAAAGGCGGGCAAAAAATTAATGCAAAAAATTAATTGTCGGTTCGCAGACTGCGCATCACTATTCTAAAACAAAATTACGCGGATATTTTGTTGATGGTTTGTACAAACGGGAATATTGGTAACGGGAATTGCTGTGATATATCCGTTATTCAAAAATATTCATAGCAAGTTTAATACAAAATTTTACTATGTACTGATAGTTATAATTAATAGTTTGAAACTTATGCACAAGTTATACATATTAATCATCTTGAATAATTTCAAATAATTGTATAAAAGTAGTAAAATGAAGACACTTTTGTAATATAATTAAAATCGAGTTAGATTATCAAGTTAAAATGAGCTTACTGAGAATTTAATTTACAGTTTAGTCGTTATTGAAATTAGAAAGGTTTAGAATGTGTCAACTAGGCAGCACGGTAACAACATACATATGATTCGCTTAGTGATGTCTGTAACGCGAGATACGATATTATATCTCTTCTTGATAATGTAAAAATAAATTGTCGGTATTTATCTAGCTATCTGTTTAGCTATATTATTATTGCAACTATATTATTACAAATTATTTGATTTATACAGATGCTTATAAAAATAAACATGTAAATTTTTCAAGATATAACTTAATACAAGTGGACATTTGTCAAAATTAACAAAAAAAATTTTCTTTAAAAAAATCTTAAAAATAAAAAATCAATGAGAATAAGAGAAAAGATATATAAATATATAAATACAATTTTTTAATATTACACATTTAAATAAAACTATTATTGTATCCGTAATTATTATTATTTCAATAAAAAATGTAATTTTTTTCTTTTTTAGTACTATATTTTTATAGTATATATTTTAATTTTTCTCTTTTATAAAATAGGTAATTTTATTCTTAAAGATTTTAAATGTTTAGTTTAAACATTTCTAAGAAAAATTTTTTTACGATATTCTTTTCTAAGACATTCAAGATTTTTCGATTTTTTAAGTCATTTAAGATTATCAAGAATTTTTAATAATTTAAAAGAAATTATTTTTAATATTTTAAATAATATTCGAAATAATTTTGCATTTAAATTTTTGAAAAAGATTTTCACCACTAATGGCGTACTTAATGATAAACAAATTTATTTTTGTAATTATGTATTTTGTTTTAAATTAATTGTAAGTTAAATTTAATGTCAATTTCCTTAGATAATATGATTTATATAATCTAACTAAATAACTGTAATATTGATATAAGTTAAATTAGTGAACAATTTATAAAACTGCATACATCTTCATATTAGTTCTCATATATAACGAAAATTTAACAACAAAATGATATAATATGCATTATATATATTCTTTCGAAATTATAAAAAATTTTGCACTCTTTTTTAACAAAAAGAATTTTTTTAAATGAAGGATTGAAATGGATAGTGTGCTTCTACACATTAATATCCTGTAAAGTTATCCCATAAAAGAAATATACAGAATTTATGCGTTAATTATGCGCTCTTGTATAAAAATAATTTCAATTTTTGTTTCACCTTTTAAGATTTTCTTCATAAGGTAAAACGTATAATCTTCATAACGTATCTTCTTCATAAGGTAACAAGTATCTATAATTCATCTAAAATTATAAAACTGAATAAATTAATCATATACGCTAAATCTTTTTATTATCAAATATGCTGTTACATTAAAACAATTTTTGCAACCCTTGAAAAACTTTTAAAACAAAACTTGAAAGTGTCTTAGATTTATTGTAGTCTACTTAGCTTTCTATCAAAATAATTATGTTTCTAAATACTAAATGAAAGGAATGCAAAAAATTTTTTTAACACCAGTATACAGTATATGATTAAAAGAAAATTTCAAAAAGCGTGTAATTTATATAAGTTTATCATTAAATTTTTTTATATAATGAAATTAACGAAAGGTAATGTAATTTTTATACATTTTTATAATTTTTTAAAATTAAAAAATTTATAATTAATTATATAATTATTTTGACAAGAGTGATTGCATAAATTTTTAAAAAATAATTTTGCTAAATGTAAGTAGTTGCAATAAAAATTAATATAGCTAATTTTTAGCTACCTATATTTCATATTATTTTGTTTTGTTTATTCTTTTTTCAGGAGACTCGTCAATGTTCGATAAATCCGAACAAGAGATATCAGCAGGATGCGTTAAATTTGAATGTGAACATGAAAGGAGACGATATTGCGAATCACTACAGTGAAATAGATAAGATCAGTCCGTGTGAATCAAACTGGACTACCTGGCCAGAAGATCTACGCAATGCTTCCGCCACGCAGATGTATATTAACATTTCAGACAGCAATCCCACATCATCATTTACTATCCCAAGTCCTCCTCCTCCTCCTCTTGCTCCTCCTCCTCCTCCTCCTCTTCCACCTCCTCCTCCTCCGCCTCCTCCTTCTCTTGCCCCGAACGTGAGCCCGCCGAAACCCAAATCCAATTGCGAGCTTGCACAGAGCATGAACGAACTATCGTTGAATACTAATTCCAATGGTCAAGAAGTTGCTGCTGTTGTTAAGAAGCTAGATCCGGTGTTTTTGGCTGAGTTAGAGAAACATTTAGGCGAAAAGGAGGCGTCTAAGAACACGAACGCTACCAATGGCAAACATCAACAACAGGAAACTGTTTCCGCGAATTATCTGCACTACTCATCGTTAGAGAAACTGCAACAGAATTTTACGTCTTCTCAGCAGCTTTCATCAACAATGGAAGATGCTGCCAAGCCTCTGTCAATTATCCCAGCGTTAAAGCCTCCGCCGCAGGGAAAACCAAAGTCGCCAGTGGCTACGATGGATCAAGCAAACTCTTCATCGGCGCTATCTAGCAAGGTGCAGAACTCCTGGCAACCAAAAAGCACAAATGTTCAAAGACCGCGACTCCAGAATGATCAGTGTGTATCAGAATCAGCCACCGAGGCTATTGTGAGTCAAATTTGGCACCAAACGCAAACTCTGTCTCAGCAGAACATTTGCCTGGCCAATTCGGCTGTTAACCAAATGTTAATTCCTGTTTCGATGACGCAAACGAATGTTAATCAGGAAATTAGGTTTCAAGAAATCGGTAGCAACGCTTTCAGTAATGGTACGAATGGTCAAAATAGTTCCTGCAATGTCATCAAGCCCACTCTTGTACAGACACAAACTTGTTTGTCAAATCAGAATTGTCCTCAAAACATGTTGCATGTCAATCAGAATATGAGTTTGCTTGAAAGAACCTCTGATAATACTATCGGTAGTAACACGAACGAGGCTCAGCATGGACCTTGCAACGTCGTCAAGGCTGCGTTTGATCAAACACAGGTCTATTCATCAAACAGCCAGAATTATCTTCAAAATTCATTGAGCATTGATCAAAGTGTTTTCGATCTGCGGCAGATTGCCATTAGTAACATTTCTAATACCAGGAATTATTCTCAGTGCGATTCAGCTAATATTTTTAAAGCAAATCAATCCCAAGTTTACTCATTAACTGACGGAAGCCAGAATTATCTTCACAATACCAGCTTCAATCTCCTTCAAACGACTGCCAATCATGTTTCCGATAAGAACGCGAGCGAATTCTCTCAGCATAGGCATTGTAATGTCTCCAAAGTTAGTTCTAATCAAGCACAGATTTATTCGTTGTCAAATCAAAATTACTCGCCGAGTATAGCACCAGGTTTTCATCTGGGCGATCTCGCGTTGCCTCAAACCTGTCTTCAAAATGTGCCAATATCGTCCAACACAAATAACATTCATGGAATCACTCACATACAAAACGATTTGCAGCAGTCGCAACATTTAAAGCCCGTTACAGTTTTATCTGAACAAGTATATGCCGAATTGAAACAAACGGTACGTAATTTGTACATTTGAATAAAATGACACTTTATGATTTAAAATAATTTGTATAGATTACGAAAAATATTTTAAACAAAAATTTCAGATTTTTACAGTAATACAGTGTCTCAATAATTATTAGCACCTTAAATATATCTTGGAATTTATATCTAGAGGAAAATTTATGTAACCAAAATTACACGTTACAAAGAGGGTTATCATATGGCGATAATAATTGTCCAGGTGAATGCGCTTCAAAGATTTCAAGGTCAACTTCGTTTTTTAAAATTGAATTTTTTTACATAATATGAGTACTCTAATTATTCGACATATAATAGTATATATTAAGGTAAAGTTGTCGAAACATCAATATTTTATGAGATATTTAATACTTTATTATACCATATTTCGATAAATATGAAATATCTCGTAAGATATTGATTTCTTGATAATTGTACTACTACTTTTATGCACAGAATAATAAGATGAATCATGTACACGTGATTGGTGTAAAAAAATATAGTTACTTTTTTTAAAAATTGCAATTTTTACATATTCTTTTTGCAAAGAATCTATATTTAAAATGTTAATAGTTATTGAGATACTGTGTATAAAGAAAAGAAATATGATACAACAAATTTTTTGTTATTAAAAATTTCTTTATGCAGATCGAACGAAATGTCAATGCCATCGATATTTTTAAAATAAAACTATAGGTTTTTTCATGTAATTTATTTTTCCTAATTATTTTGCATATAAAAATATAATCTAAAATTATTTTAGAGTAAAAATATTACAAAATATTTCATATTTCATCCTCATAATATTTTGAATATTATGAGGATAAAATATAAAATAGGTATTTCTCAAAATATTTATTTTTTGATGATTGATTCTTTAATACTTATAATAATGGAATGACTTGATTGAGGTAGGAAAAAAACAATTGCACTAAGGAAAGTATGCAATTTGAAAAATTGTATTACATTTAAATTTTTTAAACTAAATTTTGCACCAATGTTAAATTATTGTAATATCTGACTGATGTTCTTTGAATTACATCATATTTGATGTAATTCAAAGATATATTTAATCTCCTTGATGAAATATAATTAATCTTATGAATACATATTCAAAAATGTACTGTTACAATCGATTTTGAGATGTATTGGTCTATTGAAATAGTTCATTATGATCATATATATGTTTATAAAGAACTTGGTATTAATATATATTATATGTAATTATTATACATACAATTATACATATATAAATTGTACAGTATACATACATATATGAGTGGTCCATTTTAAAAGAGACGCATTGAAATTTCTCGTAAAGACTTTCATTGAAATGTTTCGTACAAAAATTTTACAGTTTTGAAGGGAGACATAAAATGGTACCATTAGTTTGATTTTTAATAAACGTGAGAAAATTATTTGAAGGTAACTTTTTCAATTTCTTAAATAAACATTCCCTTATTTTATTGCATAAATACTGGTAATTGTTTCGTAATAATAACTTCCTGAGTTACGTCTTCCTCGAAATTACAAAACTTTTATCTGAAATATTTTTCATTGAAAGCCTTGACTTTCGAGAAATCTCAATGTGTCATTTAAAATGGGTCACTCGGTATATTAGTTTATGTATTCCTAAGAAAATATTAAAAAGATGTAAAACCATTTTTTTCTTAGTTAAGGGCCCTGCCTAGTCAGCCATGAAGCATGAACTCCGCATTGACGGTGGCGACGCTATATCGCGGTAGAAATTAGAAGCTTGTCATATTAGGCCCGTTCTATAATACATCATATATCGTTGTTTTAAGTTATAAACCGTGATAATTCTACAAAATATATTGTACACCGATATAAGCAGTGTAAAATTGATCAATAACAATCGAATATGAAGAGAATACTCGACTTGAAGAAAATAACGGACCTACTGTGAAAAGTGTTGACAACGAATTTTGTGTTGCGTGCCATTTCGTTATTATGTGCTTAATTGTGAAAATGTGACTTGTCTCGTATTTATCAAAGTCGTAAAACTGGATGAAAGCTATAGTTATTGTCGAATTTTATATGACACGTAAAAGTATCTTTTCCATTCCTTTCAACAGCTGTCAAA